AGCCAGTCTTCAGAACTATTCAAACTTTAAATTAGCCAATGTTCTTTATAGCAACTCTAGTAAGGGTAAAGAATATTATTGCTCCTATTTGGCACAACACAATTTGCATACTTCCACAACCTAATTCCTATATTTATTACTGATTCATGATAAGAAAAAAGATATTTTTATTATTAAGTGTTTTTTATCTATAAAACTATAGTTATCATTTTAAGTTGTTACTATTTTGTCAAAATATCAAAAATATCAAAAATATTTAAATTTTTATTACTACAAAATATATTCAGTTTAAATAATTTTCATTTTAAAAATAGAAAGTTTTCTAAAAATGCATATTGTATAAATTTCTTGTGGGTTCGATATTCAGGTCTTAATCAAAAAGTCCTACATTACTTGATAACGATACGTATGCTTGCGTAGTGTCTCAATATATATAAATTAAAAGTTAAATTCTTATTTTTCTTCGGGATCCAGTTTTTGGCTTTGTTGCAAAGTAAGAAAATATAAGTGAAATATAATCTGAATTATTGTTGTACTGCGCATATTAGCAGTATCCGTTTTTGGCGCCATTGCTGAGGAATCGAAAGTAAAATTTCTATTTTTAGAAAGTTTTATGTAAACTTTAAGTTATCTTATATTATTTTATTTTGTTTTATTTATTTTATTTTATGATAGTATTTGCATAGCTAGTGCCCTATGATTCTTAATTAGATAGAATTATTAGAAAAATCAAAAAAACCAAAAAAAATTATAAATTTTGAAAAATCCAAAAAAATATAGAAATGGTAGACTAAAATAATCAAAATGCTGAAATTCATTAAGAGTTTAGACCTTTAAGTGATTATGTCAACCCTATTATATATGAACTTCATTGTAGTATTCAAAAACATACTGTAGTGGCTAATTCATTCAATCTTAAACCTGACATCATCCAAATGGTATCAAATAATCAGTTTGTGGGATCACCAACTAAGGATCCAAATTTACATCTTGCTAATTTTCTAAAATTGTGCGCTACATTTAAATACGACGGTGTATCAGATGATGTCATAAGTCTTAGGTTATTTTCTCACTGAGGTATAAAGCTAAGATATGGTTGAATTCATTAGCACCTGCTGTTTATGAAGCATGGAAAAGATTTAAAGAACTCTTAAGAAAGTGTCCACATCATGCTATACCAGATTGGTTAATAATTAAAAC